AGTTGCCCCAGGTGTCTGTCCGCCTTCGCTCCTACCTTTCCTTGCCCATCCTTTGCTCATCACCCAAAACAGCCCTGTCATATTGGCCGGTGTTTTGTACTTAACCAGTCTTCTAATGTGCTACCTTCTATTCGGGGGAAGATGGTAGTGCTGTCCTCGAGAAGTTTCTCCCAGACTCAATCACTTAAAGGCTTAGGACTGAGGGTTCAGGACTCTGGGCCTGTGCTTTTCTAGTTCAGGGTTTAGGGTTTCTGGTCCAGAATTGCTTTTCTGGTTCAGGGTTTAGAGTTTTCTGTTCCAGGATTGCTTTCTGGTTCAGGGTTTAGGGTTTTCTGCTTCAGGATTTGTCACCCAATGACAATGGGGGGGGAGACCTTTTCTTTTTATGAGTGTCATCCTTGGGCAGGGGCCATGATAATCTTCTCTGTATTTGATGGTTCAGGTTTTAGGGTTTTCTGGTTCAGCATTTGTCACAGGGTTTGCCACACAGTTGGTAATGTTTTTTCTGGTTCAGGGTTTGGGGTTTTCTGGTTCACGATTATCACCCAAATGACAATGCTTGTCTCGCTCAGGGTTTAGGCCCTTAGGTTTTTCTGGCTGGTTCAGGATTTGTCACTCACAGTTTGGAATCTGTTAAGGTATTTCAGAAATTTTGGAATCTTTTAAAAAGTTCTTCACAAAATAGGGAATCTGTAGAGGTATTTCAGAAATTTTGGAACCTGTACAAAGTTTTTTCACAAAATTTGGAATCTCTAGAGATATTTCAGAAAATTTGGAACCTGTCGAAAACCAACTGGGCTAGCTCACTTGGTACACCCCCCCTGAACGGTTGTTGAAATACAGACCACGTGCTGGGTTCAAATTCCACTGGAAGCAGATGAGCAAAACACCACACAAGTCTGAACCCCCTAGGGCCGGTCGGTTCAATGATGGTATCTCAAGGCCGTCACCCTTTAAAAAGAAAAAAAAATGGAACCTGTAGAAAATTTGGAATCTGCAAAGGTATTTCAGAAAATGTGGAATCCATAAAGGTATTCCAGAAATTTTGAAATCGCTATGAGTCCCTTACTCGAAACAAGACAAAAGAAGTATGGTACATTCACAATTCCGATGGAAAATGAACAGATAGCACCTCGTGCAATCAACTCTCTCCTCCTCCTCCTGCTCGTCTTCCTTCTCCTCCTTTCTCATCGTTCTCCTCCTTTTCATACTCCTTTTCGAGAACAACAAAGAAAAACGAGAAGAAGGAATCATCCTTCACCTGAAGCGTGCCACATGTACAAATCACATTGGGAACAAACACACTCGTGCATTCCCACCTGCTGCTGCTCCTTTCGCTTCCTCCCCCTCCTCCTCCTCTTCCTATTACTCCTCCTCCTCTTCCTCCTCCTTTTCCTCCCCTCCTGCAGACATTTGGCTGGCTCGTTATAATGCACGGCCGGGTACCCTTGGGTCAGAGAGCGAAAAAGGCGTGTGGAATGAAAAAGGGGTTAGGGTTGGGGGTTGAGGGGGACTTCTGGCGTCAATCGCCAAAAGGGATAGGGGTCAAAACTCCAATCTGATTTGCAGAGACTCTGAAATGCTCTCCGAGTGTGCGAAATAGTTGGGCCCATTGCAGGACTCACTAACTCTTACTTCCTTGGGTGGAGAGGGGAGGAGAGGCAAAAGGTTCGGGGGCAGGAAGGGGGGAAGAAGGTAGAGGAAAGAGAGGAGGAGGGCAAGACGAGGCCTATAAGGGACCCCCTCGTTGACATACAGCATACGTGAAACGACGTATGTGAACAGGTGTGAAAACGAACTGCAGGGGAACACGACCAGTAGACCCAGATGTGAAAACGCATGAGAGACTTCAGCCGGGTCTTAGTTTCCAAGCCCCCCCCCCCCCCCCCCCCCCCCCCCMMCCCAAAAAAAAAAGTCTGAGCTTCAAGCCTACAGCAGACATATATAGTATAGTAGGGCATCACCCTATCTATCTCTGATTTGGACAAACGTCACCCTGTTCCAGCATACACCGGAGGCTGTCGGCCGCAAGGATTTCCTGTTTCAGCACCCTAAACTAGAATGAGGCAGAAGTTGTATTGTGCAGCAGCAGGATTTCCTGTTTCGGCATAGACCGGAGAGGGAAGACCCACTATCGCTGGCTGACTTGTCGCTCTCGGACAAAAGCCACCCAACCGAAAGCAAATCTGCTTCAGTCTTACTTAGTCTCTGCCATAGTCGCTGGCTGACTTGTCGCTCTCCGATGGGATTTCCTTTCGGTTGGGTGGCTATTGTTCGAGAGCGACAAGGAAATCGATGCACATACAAATTCTGCTTCAGTCTTACATAGGCTCTCTGCCATCTATCATCCTCGGTCAAAAGCCCCTCAGGCCATCGCATCTTCCCGCCATTTTCCCGCAATCCTCCCGCCATCTTCCGCAATCTTCCCACCATTTTGCCCGTCAGTTTGCGGCAATCTTCCCGCCATCTTCCGCAATCTTCCCCTTTCTATTTTTCCCGCAACCTTCCCGCCATCTTTCCCCCATGGCCCGTTGCCACCCCCAGATTGATCAGTCGATCGATAGATCCCACCATTTTCCCGCAATCCTCCCGCCAATTTTCCCCGCACTCTTCCCGCCAATTTCCCCACAATCTTCCCGCCATTTTCACGCAAAATGTTCCCGCCGTTTACTTGCCATTCTACTCAGCGATCCATCGATTGCAAACCCAATTCCCATCCAACTAATTGCCTTTAGGCATACCAAAGAAATCGGCATGAGATAAATCCGCCAGCGATCTCGAAATTGAGCGCTGCTAGCGAGCGATTTTTCTCGACATTGTCATCCTCTACTTTTTTTTTCTTTTTCTTTTTTTTTCATCCTCTACTTTTATCATTTATGCCTGCCTTCATTTTTCCCCTTTTTCAAACATCCTTGTGCTTCATACCCCTCGCTCACTCTTCCCGCCAAAAAATCATCATCTTCTTTCTGTACAACTCACAAAGCATCATCTCCTTCTTCTTCTTCTTCAAACTGCTTCTTCTTGCTGTGTCAGGTATTTGTACTGAGGGCAAGGCCAGAAAGGCCCTCTTTGCTCTGGACGGTAAGATACGGTGGATGCGGGAGTGTGGGAAGCCCCTTGATAAGTCCTGGTGCGCAGCCAGACGAAACGCGTCGGGGAATGTGCGCGTTGAGCTCATAAGTCCGTGAATGTGCCATCTTGCATATCCTTGTGACATGGACGCATAGCGATTGGCCTCGCTATTTCAATTCAATTCACTATTTCAATTCAATTCAATTCTTCTTCTTCTTTTTCTTCTTCTTCTTCTTCAAATTTATTCTACTCATGCTACTCATGCTTGTTTCGGCGGGATCAATTGGAGCGGTTTTTTCAGTGTCATTGAAATTCAAATTTCCGAACTGCTGCCGGCACGTAACTGAACGACGCGACAGACTACGGTAGGACAGTGAGCGTGGGACTTAGCCGGTAAATCATAATTCAAATTCCCCAAGTGCTGCCGACACGTAACTGAACGACGCGACAGACTAGGACAGTGAGCGTGGGACTTAGCCGGTAAATCATAATTCAATTCCCATAATTCAAATTCCCGAAGTGCTGCCGACACGTAACTGAACGACGCGACAGACTAGGACAGTGAGCGTGGGACTTAGCCGGTAGATCATTGGCGACGAGGATAAGGCAGAGGGCAAGGCCAATGGCGCTCCATTCTCAGATGGTTCGGATGTTTGGTGGTGGCGTAAGGCGATCTTGGGAGAAGCCCCCTGAGGAGTGCCCGGAGCGCAACCAGTCCGAAATGCCTCGGGGAATTTGCGCGTTACTACCGAGAACTGTGCATGCAGAGGAAGAGGAAGAGGAAGAGTAGTAGGACGAGGAGAAGTTTGGTTCGTTCAAGATTAACGACATTACATGTTTTGTAGCTAATGCTATCGGCACGCATACCTGAGTAGTAGTAGTAGTAGTAGCAGTAGTAGTAGAAGAAGAAGAAGAAGAAGAAGAGGAGGAGGAGGAGGAGGAAGAGGAAGTAGAGTGATAAACAGCGGCCAACAACAGCTTCTCGTACACGCTTCAAAGATCGTCATGATAACTTCGCACGTACTGCACTCAGCAAAAAACGCGCACGACGCGTTTCGGCCAGAAAGCGCACCTGGCACTTCTGGAGCCGCAAGGCGGATCTTGGGAGAAGGCCCCTGAGACAGACAGACAGAAAGACAGAAAGACAGATATAGATAGATAGATAGATAGATAGATAGATAGATTAGGTTAGATACATACATACATACATACATACATGCATACATGCATACACAGATGCCGTTGCTACTCCTTTTCATACTTCTCTTTTCACTAATGGGGGAAAAAAGGGAGAGAGATACCCATAAATCGATATATGGCCAAAAACATAGGTAGAAAACGCCAGCAGAAAGCTGCACAGCCAGAGTAAGGTGGAGATAGATGCATGACGTCCAACCAGATCTTTTTGAAATCACAGGATCAATACTCCCGAATACGATCGGACAGCAACCCCAAGATCGCCGAATCAACGCTACAAGATTGCCAGCGCGATCGTCAGGTACCGACGGTCACACGATCGTCGACGATCGTGCTCGCGATCGCGAGCCCGATGGCCCGATGGCCCGATGGCCGCATCCCGCATATGTTCAGATAGCAACTCGAAGATCGCCAAAATCAGCGCCTCAAGATTACGAGCGCCATCGCCAGGGATCGATGGTCACAAGGTTGGTCACAAGGTTGTCCACGATCGCAAGCGCGATCGCAATCGATGGCCACAAGATCGTGTACAATCGCGATCGTCCGATCAAGATCGCAAAATCTATACAATGCTTGCTCTTCAAGAAAGCAATGACGAAGCAAGCTTCGTGAGGGGGGGGGGGGGGGGGAGGGGGGGGGGGGGGGGTGGGGAGGGGGGGAAGGGAAGAGGAGAAAGGGGAAGGCTGAGGAAACCATGGGATATATAGAGCGATTGCTACCGGAAAACTCACAAGGTGATCCACACCATGCAGCAGCTCCTCGGGGTCTAGTCCCATCTTCCTCCAGAAAGCCTTAGTCCGATCCTGGCCGTCCGTTAGTGGTGGTCCCTCATTCGTCAATGCCATCGTGCTCTAACGGAAGGGGGCTCCACTTTTGGAGTGCCACGAAGGTCCGGTTGCCGTTCCGTTTGGACTCGATGTTTGCCGATACTCTGTGCTGACACCACAAGCAAGCAAGCAAGGTGCGCCGGCCTCATCATCGAACTTCCCGGCCTAAGGCGATTCAGAAGTACTTGGCTCTGTAGCCTATGAATTGGAACTCAAGTCCGTATTCCGACAATTCATGAGCGTACCAACTGCCAACTCAGCTGGGCCCGTTGGTTCAGCCTCCCTGCGCCCAGTTAGGTCCGTGATTACGTTAGCCCATTTGTTTCTTTTGACAAGAGACAAGAAAAAGGGGGTCCATTCGAACTTCGGTGGGCCTCTGGACTCTTTTCCAAACACCTGCACCTAAGGTGGGTAATGGTCCCAGTGTAATGGTCCCAGTACATTGTTTCGGGGTTGTTTGTTGAGGAGTTCCTGGCCTCCGCACTTTGAGTGTGGAAATAAAATGCCAGTGTTCAAGTGTCCCTGAAAGATGGGGTATTTAGTCAGACACCCCTAAAAGACAGGGGTATGGCAAAATGCCCCTATGCCAGTTCTGAAACTTAGTGAAATACCCACTGGCCAATTGAACCCGCCATCTTGTGCATATACCCCTACGGGCCACTGTGCACCTTGTCGATATGCCCCAGTATTTCTGGCCATTGGACCCTTGGAGGGAAATTTTGAATGTCCCTACCAGAAGGATGAGCGCCCCCCGCAGGGTAGATTACGGATAGCAGGTTTGATGACGACACCCTGCTCAGTCAATCCCCTGGAACCCAGGGTATCAATGCTGGCGGGAACCCTCTCCATGGTGTTCTGATGTTATTCGGATTGCAGTCTGTATAAGGGACGCTGGACCCGTTTTCCAGCAGGTGCTGCTCCACACCAATAGATGGGGCCTCCCCCCAGGTGGTAGTGGTGCCTGCTCTTACCAGCACCACGATCACCTGAGGCGACGAGTTTTCTCAAAAGAAAAAAAAAAAAAAAAAAAAAAAGGCTGCCTGTAGGCATTCAAAGACCTACCGGGAGTGTTTCTGCCAATCCAGCAGATTGTTGAACAGAGGAAGGTGATGGAGATGGCGGAGACAGAAACTGACGAGCATGGTGCAGAGATGGAGGTGGGAAGGTGGGAGTAGAGGAGGAGTAGGGAAGGTGGGAGGGGGACGAGGAAGAGGAAGACGAGCAAGTGGAGGAGGAAAGTTGTGCTGCGTGGAAGCATCTTACTTGGGTGGCTATGGCAACACACTGCGAGCAGAACTGGTAGCGAGGGCAACACAAACAGGCAAAGTGTGGAGGGCAGCACTCCAGCAGAAAACAGCAACGTCAAGAAAGCATGTTCAAAATTTGAGTTGGATGGGCACCAAGCTCCATATGGGACAGGCAGAGAAGATACCTGCCCGGTAGAGAGGCAGATCACAAAAGAAGTGCCTTGGTCTCTGCAGTCCACTGCCAAGGGCATATCGCCAAGGTGCCCGTAGACCGGACAGGGGCATATGCAGACGTTTGGGGCAATTCGCCATACCCCTTGTTTTAGGGGTATATGACCATATAGCCCAACTTTAAGGGGCTTTTCAATTCCCCCCAAAAAAGAACTCTGTTGTGGCAAAATGCTCGGCCTTCCACTACTCCTAAGCCTTTACAGGGGACCCCTGCAAGTGAAAGGTGAAATTGAGAGAAGAATATAGCATAGTTAAAAAAAACGGTAAAAAAGGGAAAAAAATGTTCGGCCTTTGCGGTGGCCTCCCCCCCCACCAGAGGCCCCACCCTACCCCCTGCCAGCTGCCAATTAGGTTGGGGGGCAACATGCATCGAAGCTCAACCTTGTGCTCTTATCACCCGCTCGACTGAGAGAGAGAGAGAGAGTGAACAAGATCGACAGAGAGACAGAGAGGGACCAGGCGCCGCCGGGTCCGTTGCAGGCCACCGAGGACGGAACGGCCACACCATGGATTCCTCTACCAACGCCAGTCTGCCTCACGAAAAATAGACCAATATTTAGTGATTTTTATTTTCCAGGAAGAAAAAGAGAGACAATATTTTTTTTTCGGACTAAGCAAAAAATATTTTGTTTTGTTTTGTGTTCGTTTTCGTCCTGAATTTTGTGGCCTGTCCCAATGGATCCGCGTCGCCTGCCATTGTTTGAACCGCGTGGGTGGTCCACCCAGGCCGCTGAACCCATCGTTTCCACATTCAGGCCATTGCCCTTGGTACCGCTACACTCTATGAGAGCCTGGGCATTCGAGGGCAACCTGTCGGAGGACCCCTGTCGTTTTCGGCCCTGTGGTCCCAGAATGCCATTTTTTTGTTGTCGAGGGGAGTGGTGGTTTAATACTTGTACACATTTGGCGAGTGGTGGAGCAAGGCCTCAGGCTGCCACCTATATGACAGTGCTATATGCTCACCTCCTACAGTCTTCCCCCGAACAAAACATATGTTCGTTAATTACGTATAGAACGCACGGGGTGCGTTGCATCGTATATAACGCACATGTGGTATGCTACGGATACAGGGTACCAACTTTCGAAAATGGGGCCCCCAAAACAATTATTACCCTGTATCCGTACGTGCGTTATGCTACGGAAACACAAGGGCTTGTCCTTCGGGAAATCTGTTAAAATTGGAACGATACAGAGAAGGTTAGCATGGCCCCTGCGCAAGGATGACACACATAAATCGAGAAATGGCCCAAATGTATAAAGAAAAAAAAAACAGCGGCCTGAGGAGAAATGGGGCCACTGTTCGAACACTGTGGCCTCTTTGCCACCAGGCCCAGTATTTGAACAGTCGGCTCTGACAGCGGCTGTACGTCGCATTCGAACTGTGTAGCCCCTATATCGGCTGTATGTGGAATTCGGACTGTGTGATGTAGTGCACTCGTGCCTGAGCGAAACACCTGCCCACAGTAATTCAATAGAACACCCGCATGTTCTTTTTTTTTTTTTTTTTTTTTTAGTTTGATCAGAACAGATACTACACTTGATCTTAGCCAAAAGGTCGAGAAAGGTATTGAACACCCACATGTTCTATTTGAAGAACACTCGTTTTTTTTCAAATAGAACATAGTACAACATACATGCGCACTACTCGAATAGAACATGCATGCATGCTATTTCAACGTGCGTACTATTTGGATTTCAAGGGCTGACTTTGGGAAGTAGACTTTTCCAGGGAAAGTTTTTTTTTTTTTTTTTTTTTTTTTAACCGGGCCCAGTGCCCAAGGCTGATATTACCAATAAGAAGATTGAGGCCGGGGTCCTCACAGTCTACCCG